GAGAGGATTTAATTGAGCCGGCTTTTTGAAATGAAGGTCGAAGAAGTCATAGAGGAAAGGTTGTGGGACGGAGTGTCCCGGAAAAGTGGATAGTGGCGACTGCTCAGGTGTATGACAATAGGCAACGATGTGAGGATCGGGGACAACCAAATCTACACAAGAGGCTGATGCCAATGGTTTTCAGTGGGTCGTAAAAGGTAGATTATAGTAAGCAGGTGACATAGGGCTGGCGCGTCTTTCAAAAGAGTCAGATGTGCCGGGCCGCGCTTCGCTGTATGTTGATAACGAAGAACAGTGAGAGCGGTCATAGTGCATAATGACTCAACTTTGACGGATAACCCACACTTAGGGGAAGGAGTTGTTGGATAAAAAGCAATTGAATTGTCCAAGCTGTTGCTCAAAGTTATGCTTCCGTATGGACTGCGTCCGAGATGATAAGGTATGGAGCCGTTTGTGTTAATCGGACCACTGTGATTAAGAATGCCAGCTGTGGGGCCCGGTGTCACGAGAAGAGACCTTCTTAGATGTGGCTGTTTAAGTTTGATTTTTAGAACATCCCTAGGCTGTGTTCCAATCTAGGAAATAGTGGTTTGTAGTCAGCCGATTGAATGGACTGGGACCTAGATTTGTAGAGTTGCATCACAGGCTCTGCATGCGGTACAATGAAGCGATCACCAATCGTCGGTTTGTTGGATTTGAGTGCCTGTGCTGAGATTTCAAAAAAATTAATTGGAGACATTTTTCATTTGACTTGGCCGTGTTTGCTCAGTGAATAGGCAAAAGGAAGCGCGTTAATTAATGATAGCTGTAGTATCATGTGATAAATAAAACAAGATAGCAACTTCAGTGTCAGAACTGCACGTGTGGATTCGCTGTGGTGAGTTACGCTAGAGAATGCCCTAGCCGTTGTGCAATATTGTGTCGTAGCCGGCGAGTTAGCACGATTAATGTTATGTCGTTGACCTTTCACATGCGAATGCTCAGTTTCAAGAATAATTCACAGCGACTGTTAGCGATGTGTCCAGAACGACAGAGCGCGACGTCGTGTGGGTTATGGCGGTAGTTATGCGCTGTGGCGTGGTTGGAACATTATTCCTCGCTGTTGATACAGCAGAGGATTGGAGCGCGTTATGGCGTTTTGGGTGCGATGAATGCGCTCTTTAATGTCGCTCGTTATAATATCGAGCAGTTTACCAGCCTCTAATAGGTTTGAAGTCTTCTCAGATTGCTGGATGCCCGTCAAACGAACTAGGGGCATGACTTTAGCCAGAGTATCATTGCTCGAGGTTAATTCACTCTTAGGTAAGTTAACCTAATTTTTTGGAGTGTGGACTTTTACTAGGGCTTCAGTGAATCAGAGAGCTGGATCTTGCTTTTTAATGTATCGAGGATGGAGCGGCGTTAATGGTGTGAAGCATTGTTGACTTCCTTCACTTCGCAACAGTCGCCGATACAGAAAGACGTGCAGCGACCATGGGGAATTGCAAGATAGACGAAGTAATGAAATGCAAAAATGTGTCGAACAAACTACGAGATGAGTAGGAGAACAACGGTGTGCAAAAGATTATGTGCAACATGGCGGGCAATGGACGACACAAGTAGGCTAATAATGCTAGATGAATGGCCGAGAGTCGACTAAATATCAGACTTAAGAAAGAAAACGCACAATTCCGAGTTCTATATCTAGTACTCATTGATATCCAGGATATTTCACTATTAATGGTCCCAAGAGAATAAATCTTGAGGGAGGTCGTAATGCGCTTTCAAACGGACCCCTAGCAGCGTTAAAGGAAATAATTGGCTTGATGACTCAATCGTGTAAGCTACTAGCCTAAACTCATGGCCACCATTCGGCAATGACTCCTGCATAATATGCCATATCACCGAAGAATGTTGCTGTCGAAGCGCTTGGGTCGCTTTAAAAATAATCAAGAAGAAAATCCGAATCCTTGAATGTGCAGGAATCAATCTGATACTACCGACCTGAGAGAGTGAACAATTTGAAATTAGATCCTCAGGAAATAGCACGGAAACTGAATTTTACATAGTATGTTGAGATATACCAAAACTGTTCCCAAAATTTTGCAAATGGTTTTGGTAAAAACACGATTTATTTTATGTAATTTGGACGGTTCCTAGTAAATAAATGAAGCTGTGAATGGAATCTTTCGTACCTGCTGTCTCAACATTGCAGTCCACGACGAAGCGGTTCCTCCCTGATTTGGATTTACCATTCCGAGATAGTTTTGAGCTGAGAGGAGAACTCGACACGGCGGTTGGTCACATGTGAGATGGGTTGCTCCAGCGCCGTAAGGTGATGCTTTTGCTAGCGCTACCGTGTTTAGATAGTGTAATCCAGGTACGGCCTCATGTATACGCCAGACATTTGCAGAAAGTTTGAGCTGTTGAAATGGCGGGGGACAGTAAGAAGGATGCCGAAGCGATAAAAAAGAATAAATGTTTATTATTTAACAAAGTTTTATTCCCAATTATGCGGGTCACACCATTACAGGCATAATCATGGAGGTGCAGCGGTGTTCATCTCATGGATTACATAATGAACAAAAATAATTAAACGAATGGACAATTGAAATTATACATGTGGGGTGTGATTTGATATTAGACATAGGTTTGGAAGCGATGGGGCAACACCCAATTGAACAGTTTCATCCAAGCGGTACCATCAAAAGGAAGAGTTGGTACTGCTTTTTCAGATGAAAAGAAAATTTGCACGGAGAACACAACTGATGTCTGAGCATGTGCTACAGATTTGCAGTCAAAATCACTTTGCTCTTCGCTGTCACAGCGATGCCCAAAGTAGGACTGTATTTATCATGTTATTACCACGTTCCAGGTGGTAAACGGAGCTTAGCTATTAAATATTCGAGACATACAGATGCTTCTTCGGAAATCCCTTAAAGATAACTGGTTAGCTTTATGCATTAAAGTTGAGATTCATCCACATATACCCAGTTACTGAATTTTAACTGAATAACTAGCCCATTGGTGAGGTTGAACAGATTTACACGTAAGTGACACCGGGTAATTCTATGGGATTGCTAGAATTCAGAGCGAAGTCGGTATATATGTAAGGGATTACATGGTGATCGGAGAAGGTAGAAAGGAAACAGTTCGCTAGAGCATATTTAGCAATGGCAAAGTGTGTTTTGCTCCAGTCATAATAGCGACAATTAGCATACGCTTGTATTTATGTTACCCGAAAATGGGTAACGCAGAAAGCAATTTTTCATAACATATGGAACAAGAACCCAAGGCTGTAGTATTTCCGCTAATGTAACTGAGGATAACAGGTTGCCAATCTTCCATCAATGCCATACAGTTCGAATTCCTGCTCATTAATATGGGTTTCATATTTTTCGAGCAGTTGTTTGGTTTTCTGATGCGCAAGTCACTCGCTTATTGAACTGGTTGACAACGTCTACTCAGGTCGCATCAAAGAAATCTTCTGCTAGGTAAGACTAGATATTTTAACCAAAAATACTAGACAAACCGTCATAATTGTACCTGCTTTAAATTCTTCTGTATAACACACGTAGCGGCACATTAGTGTTTAAAGATCGCTGTGGCTGTAGCAATTGCTAATCAATGCGATATAGTAGATGGTATATTCAGTAATAATATGGGGGTCTAGTATGTTGATCACTGAATTGTTCATCGTGCATTAGAAGCTTAGGTGTTTGTTTACGTACCCTCAACACGCAAATCCCCTTTCCCGGATACCCATTAAGAATCACTTTGGGACCAGGATTTGTTTTCTTGTTCGCTGATTTGGTGGTTCACAAAATACAGGAGAGCCCATTTAGCGAAATGATCAAAAGGCTGTCTCTCTAGAAAAGCCTTAATTATTCATGTCGTGAGTAACCGACGGCTGTGTGAACCAGAGTGATAAAGGACCGGATTCAATCGGGGCTACTGTAACATACAATTCGGCATTCGACCGGAGGTAATTGAACGTCTGACGTTCCTGGATATTCAAACGACATGCAACCCTACTGAAATATGAGAAAAGTGACATAGAAGGGTCACTATAAACTTTTCTATAGATCGTAGACAGTTCGATTTCAACAGGACGTAGTCTGGTGCGCCGGCGTAATAGTGAGGAAAATACGTAAAGTGCCATTGTTGCAGCCAAAGCACTCGCAGTAGGACAGAACCGCGTATATGTATTCCTGATGTCCAATGGAGAAAACTGATATTAACATGCTGCTAAACGTTATGGTTGACCGTTAACAACACATCTAAATGTAGACTATCCCATCATTTCTGCACCAATGACACACCTGGGGCTGAAATATTAAAAGTATATGCAAGGCATCTACTGTGTTTAATAATATATTCCTTCAAGCGGGAAAAGTGGCATTTGACGCATCAGCGCACGTTTATCTGAACATGTCAAGCAGCACAGGCTGAGCTTTAGAGCCAAAGATTGAAAAAGTCACGCGTAACTGCGATTGGCACATAGCTATTCCAAACAACTTATTCAGTACTTACCACTAGAACATTTGGCCGATTAGGGGATGAATTAGCAGTATATCGGTTGCAATATAGCAATTTGTCTGTAAAGCACGCAAGCTGAACAATCACAGCACAACGATAAAATTAGCAGAGTAATGGACTCAAACTGCGGACCAAATTTCCATTTGTTTTTTCACACATTTGTACGTTAAAAATGAGATGGTGGTAAAAGCTGAGCAAAGCAATTTAGATCTTGCTAATAGTACGTTAGTTCCTTTCATTCTAACAAACTGGTACTCATATGTCTCGTATGTAAACAGGGCTGTGTGACAAATCCGCGCCCCAGAAAAATATCTGTTCCGACCTGTCGTCATATTCCACAGCGAATTCTTGCATTGGTGGGATCATTCTGACCAATCATAATGCAGCTAATTCCGTGGATTAGTTACAAGTAAGTATAAAAAAGCGGACGCTGATGAAGATGTAAATCGGCCGCCCCAAGGAGACTGAAAGGCTAATTGAGCATGCGTCTTTTCTTCATACCTTTTTTGCTGGTATGTTCAGAGATGGTCACGTAGAGTATACTATGTGGTCACTGTTAGTGATTATCTTATCTCGCAGTAGAAAAAGCCTGTTCATCCAGAATTAACTAAGCGTATGAAAGTTGTTTGCCTTTTTATTTGAATTTGTGTCACTGACAGTTCAGAAGCCTTAGCAGTTACAGGCTACATAATAATTTGAATAGACATAGTGTTATGCCTCGACACAAATCTGCAGTATTCATGTGCTTTTTTAAAATACTTTCATCTTTTTTTCAGTTTGCAAAATAATTTTCGTATCATAAGTAAATGTGTACTTCTTATGCCAGTTGTTTCATCTTGCACTCTACAGGCTCTTGCTTTCTGCGCATCAAAATGCTCTTCCAATGTTCAAGACCAAAATAGGCAAGCTTGCTATCCGGGATGCTGGTACGTTGCATGGAGCAGTGCATCCGCTCCGTCCAACAACATGTCGCCATCTATCATAAGGAGACTCGATGCATGCCTTCAAGCCTGCGGAAGGCAATAGAAAGGTAGACAAGTGGACGTCGGTTGTTACCGCAAGAGACACAACAACAATTGAATGTGCGTTAACAACAATATTCGTCATGCATAAAATTTATCACGAAAGAATTAAAAGTTGATTCCACTGGATTTAATTTGTAAAATTTAACTTGCTCTTCCTGCAATTAGTAGATCAAATGTTTACACAAGTCCAACTTCCTAAATGCATTAGAGCTTTTCCGGTTTGCTCGTTTTCAAACGCCACTCAGCATTGTACGTTTTTATATTTTGGGTATGTTTCGTCCTTGATTTGGACATTTCCATTGAAAGCAACACATAAGTTACTGGATCACATTTTTGTCAAAGAAATAGAAAAACCTTACTGAGATTATCGAAAACATGTGATTTGTAATTACGTAATTGCGTATGGTCGCAACTAGTCCAAAAGACTGTTATTGTAGATACTGAATCAACAGCGGTGGATAAATTTTCTTAGAAATGTAGTGTTAAAGGTAGTGTCAGTGGCATAAACATGGGACAAATTTCTCAGCCCAACTGGATTGCGTTTCTGACCGGAAAATTATGGGCATCATGTCGTATTCGTTTTTATCACAATGTTTACAGATAGTCTAATTTCGAAACGGTAACATACTGTTGCTCGGTAGTTTACGTTTGACAGCGTATTTTCTAGCTGTCTCGCTTGTTGCAACTCGCGCAATGTGCGCTAAGTGGTAAAGCGATATATATATATATATATATGTATATATATATATACATTGTGATTGCGCGGTGCATCTCGCTGTCGCTTACCAGCCGCTTCTTATGTATCACTAAATTGTAACCCAGCTTTGGTTAATCGTACGTACACATACGTATGCCACCGCAACGATTTAATTTGTATGACATCGCGATTAATGAAAATATCCGATTAGCATGTGAACTTCGCGGTAGGAAATCGATGTAGCTCTCATGACAAACCAGCATTCGTGGGATGATAGAACGCAATCTGAAAAACTTCGCCGAGGAGTTATGCAAACAATGCAACGGTATCACCAATGCTTGAAATATTCCGTTGCCATAATTATAATTTCTCGGTTGGAATAAGTCAAGGCCGATTAAAACTCGGAGTTCTTGATATTGGATACGCTCGATTTACTGAAGTAGGCAGAAGTGTGCTCTTTGTTGTAAACGTTTACAACGCGATTTCTTTACAGAAATTAATAAAACCTTCAGCTTGGATTGCAATTATTTAATAACTGCACCTAAGCTACATATTAAATGTTGTCACCGTTACTGGAATGCTAATGGTTCGCAGGAAGTTTAATCGCAATCCGCATTGCGATTTCGCGTTTCACTCCCTTAACACATCAAGTGTTTCAGTATGAACAACGGAAAAATAATACAATGATATATGACAGGTAGAAAGCCAATGCTTGACAGGTCCCGTGAGATAATTAGTACGATATACATAGGTTCGAATAAATAAACAGTAACGTTAAAATCGCATCTGTGGACCCACACAATTACCAGAGTTAATGCGCATGTACATCAGTTTACGCCTATTTTGTCGGGGTTGCTGAGTACAGTTTTTGACTAGGTCTTCTCTTCCCTAAATGAGCTGAACTCAAAGCAACGAGTGCAGATGCTGTAATGTATGGTATGTTTCCTTTATAACATTTGGTAGCGTGGGCATAGCAATAACAAAATTCGAAAGGGCGTTCCACGTTTGAAGAATTCGAAGTGGACATCATGTCGGAGGTTTACCAGTTTTCAGTCGCGGTCGTTATGACATGTGGATCTAATACATCTCCGTTCAGTTACCCTTCGCTGTAGTGTCTCAAGTGCAGATAGAAAATGGTTTAGGCGTGGTTGCTAGACCTGAATCGCGTAATGCACATGGCCCTGACAAACTTACTGAGCTCTTTGGGGGAAGATGGAAGTAACAAACCGCCGAACGTAGGATGCTTCTTCGCGGTTTTGGGTGGCTTCAAAGACTGCGCCGAATAGACAAGGTTGTCCTGTATCATCATTATATAGATACACTCCCGTGAAGAAGTAAACAGGTTATGGCTTGCAAGCTTCTATGCGTTAACGAATGCTTAACCTACCTGTATGTTGTTGCGTTTGCTCGCGTTGAACGGAAGCATATTTACCTTTGACCAATCATAACACGAGGTAAGTCTCATTACAGCAAATCGTGATCTTCCTGCTTACCGATCACCCGTAATATATTGAGGTCATCAGCAAAAGTAAAGAAATGCTACTCGGTGACACAAGCGGGACCTTTGAAAAAAACAATAATAAATGTAGCCCGTAACACTGAGCCCTGTGCAGCACCAGATTTCCCATCCATGGGATCGGCAAATGTACCACGAACCCCAACTCAAAGCTTCCGTTAACTACGTTACGTAGTCCAGCCACCACACACAGACGATGGACCGCAAGCCACGCTTTCGAAGACGGACTGTTTTCACAGATTCTCGGTACTAGCAGAGCGAGTCTCGCAACCGTACAACAGTCCAACACGGAAGGACGCAATATAACACCGCACATTTTCAGAGAGACGGATGTCATAGCAGCGTCGTAGATGCTTCAGCCCGGAGAATGCGAGACAACCTCTTGAGATGTGCATCAAAATCTCGTCTCTGACAGCCCCACCAGCACGGATGCAGCTTCTCAGCTAAGTAAAACTCTGTACCACTCCCAGCATCTCACCATCGATGGTGAGTGCCGACTGGGGTGTATTCCAGTCTTGAAAAAGCGTTTTGTACTTTAATGGTGAAAAGTGCATGCCATACTTGGAAGTTTCAGTCGCCATGAGGTTAACCTCAAGTTGGACAGCCGGTGGTCCATCACATAAGGCTAGGATCACAGCAGCCTAATCCAAACCAACAACCCCACTACTTGAGAGGAGTTCAAAATCGGCGTTCAACAAGTATTCTTTAGCACTTTTGAGGACAGCCTCAATGGCAAAATCGAGGAGGGATGAAGATATAGGGTAACTTAATCAAATCCCACCGGTGACAACAAAGGCAGGCGAAGGCTCGTCATAATCCGTAACTGTACTCGAGTTCAAACTATACAGACCACTCAGTACGGAAAAGAAATGCTTAGGAATGCCATTTCTCAACAGAACGGGTATCTAAGAACACAACATCTGTAGGTCTTTTATATTCCATGCAATCCTCAAGAATCCGGTGAAGTGAAGAAATTTAATTGATGCAGTCGCGACAAAGGTGGAACCCAGCTTATTCGTCTCGATGTAGTAATTCAGGTGTTGGGGATAGCCTGCGAAGCATGGGGGACACCAGAAACGTGCAAACGACGGGAACAAAAGTTTGCTCCTGTACTTGGAGCAGATTGCGCACAGGCTCTTTTTAAAGATAGGACGACTACTGACTCACTCGAGGAGAATGGATCGTCCTCTTTTGCCAAGTCTTCGGAGCACAAATCGGTGAGTTTCCGAACCAGCGAATAGACGGCAATTATACATAGAGCAGGATGTAGACCATCAGGGCCGGGTGCCTTCTAACATCATAGGTAGCAGCTTCAGCCAGATTTCCTGGTGAGTGGGAGCATAATTAAGGATAGTCCACTCAGCACCAGTGCGCCTCCCATGTGAAGTAACCAGAAAACTGCTACCAAAAATGTTCTGGCCCAACGTTCCAATCGGCTTTGAAGATTATGGATTAGGGAGCCATCCGCTTAGCAAAATGTTTCGCTTACTCCAGATCGGAAACATTCGGTGACTGGAATCAGGTGGAACTTTTCTTTGTTATTATCCGAGAGATCGGCAAATTCCATCTCTCTAGCACGTTCACATTATCAGTACTGACGGTCGTTCTGCAAGCTCCTACGCAACGCTCGATCTAAGCATTTGCGTTCCTCACTACAGCTGGTGTCGCCTGGGATCAATCGATGTCTGTCTATCAGCGACAAGAATGCAGTGGTGGTTTAGCTATTCGGAGTGTGATAAATAAATTCACAACTGAAAGGACTGGCAGAAATTAAGGCGTCTTTGATGCGCATCCATTGCGAAAGCGGCCCATCTTCGGAGGATGCAACGAGCACCTTTGACAGAGAAGCGCGGTACCTGGCTAATGTTGCAGAATGTTGCGGATTTTCGACGTTCCCTCGGTAGTGCATACCTCTGAGGGATTCTCCGAAGAGCGTGTAAATCTTGGCGCGAACCAGTGAGTGTTCGGAGTCCAGACGATTTGACCAGTACGATCCTCAGTCTCTTACGCTTCCGCGCCATCTGTAGCTTATTGTTATTGGGAACACTGTCGAGCCTGAGATGGTCGAGGCCATGTAGCATTTTCGATTTGCGAATGCCAGAACTGGTACGCGAAAGAAACAAGCGATGATAGGCAAAAAGAGGCAGTAGCTTAACTCCATTGTTTGAACGCATGCTATCGAAGCCAATACTAACCCAGGATGGTGCTTGCTTGGCAGCATGCGACCCACTCGTGCGTTAATATCTCCGTCAAGAGTGGCAATATCAAACATTTTGAGAAACGTGTATGGTTATGTTACTGTTGGTAAAAGCAATCCTTGATTGCATCCGGACTGTAGTCTGTAGGAGCTAGGTGGGATAACAAACAAGGTTTGAGTAACATCTCGACGCTCACTTAACACCCAATTAACGCTTACATGCACCTCATAGTCTGTCTGCACATAGCCGATTATTGACTGGAATCCAGTCAAGCAATGCTACCTCAGCCCTGTCACTCAGTGTAACCCCAATACCGGTTTGGCTGGAAGCCGTGGTCTCTTGGTCTCCGGAAATGTGCAAGTGTTATTTGACGTCAAGATTTTCTGGAGCGTCCGTTGCGGCGGCACTGGCTTCTTGCAACCTGGTTTCCAAAAGTTAAGTAAGGTCCAATGAGTATCTCAAGTGTGCGGACAGGCCTGGTTGTCGTCCGATCCGCATCAGAGTGCGCACATTGAACGCTGTATAGCCAAAGTGAGAACCATGTCGAAGGAAACCTTAGGTTTCGGAGGAGTGTGTGAATGTTGTGACCA